AGAGGCGTACTACGAAGAAGTTTGGAGGGGATAAAAAGCCTCTACTTCAGAAAACGTATCACCCTGTAGATTTTGGGATTCTCCAAAATGCTTGAATTGATGATCTCCTAGGAAGTATTGACTACACCAAATCACACAATGATACCTTGAAAAGTAAGCGAGATAGTTCGATTGATAAAAAAGAAAATTAAACTTTGACCCCCTGTAGCTCAGCTACTGAACGAGATCGGACTAATGTTTGAATGAACTTTTGTGATTAATATGATGATATCTATCTCCCATTTCAGTTTGTGCCTTAAAACCTGAATCACCCTGTATATTCTTTAGCGTTATAGGAATATGACTGGAAAATCTCCCAAACATTTTTCGTCAAATGGAAAGCATGGGGAATTCTTCGATATTTTCTAGACTTATAATAGTGAAATATTCATTTTCAGAATGAAAACACGGCAGCAGAATATGTTGAATTATCGCGAAGACATTCAATGTTCCATTTAGTGAAAAATGTGCTTGTTGCGTTTGTAGTTTGATTCATCAAACAATCGAAAATAATCCCAAACAAACCCTGAACAGCATCTATATGCATTCGGCGGTACTAACACAAATATTCTGTGCATCTAACTGTGATGAAGTTATCTGTAATAATTGGATATTTAGTGTATTTACAGAATGCTTTACTGATGGAATACGATTCTGATAGAATACGGTTTTGACGAAATACGGTTTTGACGAAATACGGAACTGACGAAATACGGTTCTGACGAAATACGGTTCTGACGAAATACGGTTCTGACGAAATACGGTGATGATGGAATACGGTTCTGATGAAATACAGTTTTGATGAAATATGTTTCTGATAGAATACAGTTCCGATGGAATACGGTTCCGATGAATTACTGAAACTATAAAATACAGTGCCGATGAATTGATGTGACGATGGAATACAGTTCCTATACGATACGATTTTGATGAATTACGATTCTGATGTTTTACTGAAGCGACGAATTACGGTTCTGATAGAATACCCTAACGATAGAATTAGATTATGATAAATTACCGTGATGATGAAATACTGTTCTGATGAATTACTGTTATGATCAAATACGGTTCTTTTCGAATACCATTTTGATGGATTACATTTTGACGAATCACGATTTGTTATAATACATACCTACAAATTACGGAGCTATGTTTTACAAAGCGATGAAAAACGTGCTTACAGAATACAATAACTATCAATTACGGTACCTACGAATTACCATTCTGATGAAATATATTCTTATAAATTATATTTCGATGCATTATATTCTGACGTTTTGGGTGTTTCCGGGGCCGCGTGGTTGAAGTTGTATTGAAAATTTCAGTGTCTCTAATCAATACTTACCGTTCGGCGTATGTCGCAAGTTACTATGATGATTGAAAAAAAGTTTGGGCAAACAGAATTGTCAAACGTGTAGGATTGGTACAATGTGCAATGGCGATGTATACTTTTCACCCTTAATATCTTTCTTGCAGTGAATAATATGACGACGGTACCCTAGTCAATCATTATTTGTTGAGCGGTTTTCGAAAAATGTTGTGTCACTTAGAATACTTCCCATGCACCCGATAATATTTTTTCTTCAGTGAATTATATGAGAAATCGAACACGTCAATTCCATTTCTGAGGAACACACTTCAGATGCATATTTGTAGCCCTCTTAGTTCAGCCCCCCAGGAGGAGTGGATGTTACCCTTAGAACCTAATATACCTAATAGCACACAACGTCCTAGGGACGTCCCTATTTGATACAATTCACGTCCGAATGTCCCGAACCAAAAATAAGTGTCCTTGGGACGTCCCATCCCGTATACATCTCATGCAATGTCCGAGCAAGGACGTCCACGGAATGTCCCAGCTGGTACATCATTTTGAATGTCCTAGAAATAGCATCCCTTAGACGTCCCACGTGATACATGTTGTAGAATATCCATGCAAGGACGTCCTTGGCATGTCTCTGATGGGATATGATTTTAAACGTTCCTTTAGGGACATCCATCGGATGTCCCGAGTAGTACACATTCTGGCATGACTTCAGATCTCATATAATGCTTCTCCTAGACAATTATGAAATGTCCCTGATGGTACATTCCTTCAAATATCTCTGCACAGAAGCCCTTGATATTTCCAGGATCGTATAACAATCGAAATGTCCCTTAGGGATATCCGTCGGATGTCCCAATTGGTACATGAACTGTACTCTTCCAATGTCCTAGAGATAACGTCCTATGGACCTCCCAGTCGGTACTTTCAATATGTTGTCCCTGCGAGGACGTTAATTAACACCTCGCCGACGAATGATTGCTCGTAGGCTATAAGTACTCCTCGTCAATGTCCTTCACGTGAGTCCATTGGACATCCTTGGGAAACTCTTTGGGGACCTTCTACTGGATGTCTTAATCAGCTATGCAAGATCTGGTCCTAGAGGGACCCAAAAAAATTGAAATTCAAGAATAATTCGTACGTCCCTGGGACATCCAATGGACATCCAATTGATACCCCTCAGCGTTGCTGATAGGTTGTCCCATGGATGTTCTAAGGATGTCCTCTGTAGTGCTTGATGAGAAATACTGTAGGATTTAGGTATTCGATAGTTGTCCCAGGGACATCCCTCAAGGACGTCCCCAGTTGGTCCTCAAGTGGGACATCTGTGCGTCCCACAGACGTCCAATGGACGTCCACGGTACCAAATTCGAACGTCCTTTGGACGTCCTGAATGTACCGACAGGACTTCCTAAGGATATCCATGGGACATGAGTGTGATAGAGCAAAGCTACAGTGCCTCGCAGTGTAGATTTGAACTTCGCCATTTGGATTCAAAACTAAACTACTATGTATATGAATTGATGTATTACAGCTTTGAATCCAATAAAGACATTTATTATTATTATTATTATTATTATTATTTTTTTTTGAGTTTATATGATTCCAGTCACGACCCTGCGGCCTCCGACGTCACGCAGAGTCGTGCTGGATAAAATCCAGTGACTACTCCTCACAGCCTGTGAGGTGAGTAATCACTGGGACCAAGTACCGTGTGCCCTGAGTAGACGCAATGATCCTAGTATGACGACCTTCTGCATTCCACCAGCCAGGATGTGTGCCTTATCACGGCACGCTGGGATTTTCTGGATCTCCGAGAGCAGCGTGTGTCGTGTGCCTCCTAGGGAGCCGATTATCAGGATGACCAATTCCACAGAATGGTCTGGATAGAGCCGGCGGAGTTCGAAGAGAAGATCTCGATATTTAGTCCGTTTTTCCTCCTCCTTCAAAACGATGTTCGGTTCGGCTGGCGCCGAAAACTCGATCACGAACATCGCTTTGGTTTGATGGTCGAGGAGGACTACATCAGGCTTGTTAGCTTGTATCTGCCTGAGGGTGGGGAATGAAAAGTTCCAATAAATTCGGCACCTCTCATTCTCCACAACGGACTCAATATCCCCCGGAGCATAGGGCAGCACTGGGGTCTCGTCTATTCCGTACGAGTGCCTCAATAGTACTATTTGCTCTACTATTATTATTATTATTATTATTATTATTATTATTATTATTATTATTATTATTATTATTATTATTATTATTATTATTATTATTATTATTATTATTATTATTATTATTATTATTATTATTATATCAGGGTGAAAAGGGAGGTCAGGATGCACATCATTTTGAAGGGCGTTCAAGACTCCTTCTAACTATACCCTAGTTATTTATTTCTTGATGAACATTTTTCGAAAAATGTCGTTCTAAACTTACACATGAGGGGTGAAAGAACTTACAGTCACAACTCCACCACATACAAATTTTTAATAATGACCAACGGTCATGGACATGAGTAAGGACATGTTTCGAAGGATTAATCCTTCTTCATCAGAAAATGTGTCAAAAAGATAATCTGTAAGGAGAAACAATGCTTATGTTAGTTATAAGTATTGATTAAGGAATCTGAATGTATACCTACCATTATTGGTGGAAAAAGTTCACTTAGTACAAAACTTGAAAAATATTGATTTTATTTTCAACCGCGCATAGTGCGGGTGAGTTAATGTTAGGGAACCATTATTTCAAGCTCAATAATATTATGGGCTTAGATATTTAAAATAGTGACAAAATTCAATAATATCATTATTGCACCAAAAGAACGGTTTGGTTATAATAAATAAATATGATGAACTGTTATTAAAATATGGCTTATCAAAGGTTTGTTTGAAAAAAACAAATTATTTTTTGTTAACACCCGCATGAATAAGCCTCGTGCATGGTTAAATTATGATTATTTTATGGTAATATTCATTTATTATCTGAGAATATATATTTCTTCACCCACACCAAACGAAATTTATTATTTCAAAATCTTCGTTTTTAGTAACCAAATATCCATTTATTAGTAGGTACAGCATGAAATGAAACATTTTATTGATAATAAATGAATATTATATTCGCTGATAATAACATAATTCGATGTCTTCAATTCAGAAAAATTGTTAATTGTTTTATTGAATTTCCTGATGTATCACCACCAGTGAACTAGAATTGAATTCATGTGAGAAATAATCATCTGATTATGTTCGGCTTTTGTTAATTCAACTAATCATTCACAAAAACCCAAGTTGATATGATCATTTTGATTGAATCGCGGGATCATTCTGAATGAATAAATCAGATATTGATCTTCGTATCCTCAAAATCAAATTTTCCTTATCAAAATCATGAGAGCGCTAAAATCACGATTTTGTAGTTAGTCGAACTGAAGAATAGACAGAAACAGAAATTTGAGAAACTAGAGAACACCATTTCAAAGATAGCCAACCAAACTGAGAAGGAGTTTAGAACAAAATAAGAAAAGTGTGTCGATGCAATCTCACATAATTTGACGTAAATTGAAATCTTGAATGTCCCAACCAATTCAAATGGTTGAAAACAATAACACTTTCCTCATGGGTTTATTTGTTCTTCGCAGGTCTGATTTCCTGAAAGTTCGTGGTTTCGATGAAGACATAGTGGGCTGGGGCGGAGAAGACGTGATGCTGTATAGAAAATACGTGAGGAGTAATATGAAGGTCGTCCGAGCTACAGATCCAGGAATATTCCACATCTGGCATCCGAAGGTAAGAGACATGGAAGGCCCATTTCACAATCTTCATTCAATACAGATTCTAAAAGAAGATACTGGATTATAGTGTATGGAAAATCACAGAATTGCCTGATGTAATTCAACTTGGTAAAGAAATTACGGAAATCTGAAAGACTCGTGTGGGGGATTTATTTGTAATCAAAAGAAGCTGACCAATGGAAAATCTCAATATATCATTATATTTTTCAATAGTTTGAAAGATGTTTCTTATCCAAAAAAATTATTGAAAATGACCAGCAGGATTCTTAGAGGAGGTAACCTTTTCGGCACTTTTATTATAACTCTCTTGGAGAAAATATGCTGGTTGTGTTTTGTCTATACTTACAGGCATTTCTTCGTTTGATATGTTTGTAAAAATAACTTTTGGAGAACTCCTTAACACTTTGAATGGACCTTTATACGGTGGTGTCAAACCTGGTTTCAACCTAACAGCCCGAATGAAAATGTAAATGAATTTCAAAGAGTCAGGGTAAACAAAATGTTTTATTATAATTCTTTATTCTCGAGGGAACCTGTCCAAGTGATGAAAAAGTTTGTCTGAGTCTCGTTAAAAGATTTGATGATCCCAATAAAGACTGTTGGCCCGCGACACAGGGTTTATCGATGTTTTAAGTCGGTATGCCATTGAAGGGACCCACTCACCTAGTCCAAGTTAAGGAGTGCCTCGGAGAGTCGCAACCCAGTCCTTGCCCCGGCCCAGACCTCACCTTTTGGTTGGAAAAAAGTTCAAAATTTTGTTTATGAAGAAGCTCGGCAATGAAGTGCAATGATCTTATCTCACGAAAATTAGGGCGCTTGCCGGTTTGCATACGTATAGGTCACTACCCAAGGGCGGCATACGAACCGGAAGTAGCGATTTTTCAGTGTTATAGTCGATGATCTAAGAATGTATGCCCTTTTTTTTTTTTTTTTTTCGCCGAGGTGGTTAAAATCTTTTATAGACATCATATGGGTCCAATCCCCCATATGATAGTGTGGGAGTCCCCTCCATGGTATACCCACCAATCACTCCACCCCGTTGTAGGCTCCGACGACACTTAGGCCTAGTGGCCCATTGTATCTCACCTACATGCCGTTATCAATTTTACCACATACGACTCATGGTGCCTATTAAGGGACACTTCAATATGAAAGACCCTTTTCGTTCAGGTTCCTGAAGATTGTTCTTACGCTCCCTGTTCTCGTCTACGAAGAAGGCTAAAAGTTTTCCTTCTCCTACGAGTGACGGGGGAAGGGGTTGGTCCAGCCCTGTGGTGCCCCCTGCACAGAGCTAAGGCTGTTTACTCTGGGATGTCGCCCTGTTTCCCAGAGGCCCCGTTAGCGACACCATTCCTCGGTGCCATCCATCCATCGCCACGGGTTCCCACAGCTTGGATTAGGTTGCCAGAGCCTCGTTGACCAGTCCTCGACCACCTAGACAAACATCAGCAAATCGCCCCATCCCTGCCACAGATGTCCACAAATTGTCCCATCTAGTCCAGAGATAGCAAAGATGGTCTCGAAATGCTTCATCCGTCGAGCGGCCGCGGTCTGTCCTCCCCACACCACTTGATGGTGAGGTTGGGCTTGGAGGGGAAGAGGGAAAGAGAAGTTGGCCAAGAAAGGCCGATAGAAAGATTGAAAATGGGAGAGAGAAGAGGATATCACCTAAGACGAGTTGAAGTATGGTGAATATCCGGCTAAGGTACCTCGGGTTCACCATTCCCGTACTCACAAGTTGTGAGCCCCTGAGGGGATCGCCAGATCCTCGTTATCAATCCGCGGCCACATAAGGAGATTTTCACAAATTGCCCCATCCTCGCACTCAGATGTCCACAAAACTGTCCCATCTGAGTGATGACAGCAAAGATGTTCTCAAAATGCTCAATCTGCCGAGCAGCCGCGGCTTGTCCTCCCCGCACAATGGTGAGGTTGGGCTTTAGGGGAGAAGGAAAAGAGGAGAAGTGACCAAAGGAGGCCGATGAAGAAGAAGATTGGAAGCTGAAGAGTGAAGAGGATACCATCAAAGACAAGTTGAAGATTAATGAGTATCCGGCTAGGGTACCTCGGGATTGCCATTCCCGTACTCACAAGTCGTGAGCCCCTGAGGGGTATGCCCTTTGGCAAAACAATGAATTGGGGCCCATTAATCAATTTCCCGACATCTGCATACGATTTCAGAGAGGGGAGCTCGACTTATTCGAACATCATTTGACTCGATATAGTTCAAATAATCGATAATCGAAGAAATGTTCAAATTTTGACCATGGTTAGTGGACCCCACAGTATATATGAGATGATGGTTTGCATACAATTTGCACATTCCGTACAGGGTGGTTCACCATAAATATCTCCCATTGTAACTTAGTTGTTTCTGAACCGATTTTAAAATTCCAAAAACCAATTAAAATGATTTTCCTAAGGGATTTTTCATTGTTATTGAAAATTCACAGGCTGTTCATAACAGATGAACTATGGGGTCGTTGGTGAATTTTTCTCACTGGAACACTATATTTTATTTCACTATCGAGTTGAGATTATCATGACGAATACAGCTCTACAGCATGTAGCATCATTTCATCATTTACACGCAGCACTCTAATAGCAAATTGTCAAATTGTGCTAGAAATATGAATCCCGGGTTTGAAGTATTTCCTTTTTCTTTTGCTGAAACAATTTTCATATCTGAACAATGATTTGCTGCGTCAGCCGGGTAGAGTGTAGCACGTAATGATTTAGTCAGAGGTTGGTGACATCATTATCTCTGAGACTTCGACTGAGGAAGTATCAGGTATATCTTTCGATCATGCCAAGATTTTTCAATAATTATCCCCATTAAAAATAATATTCTTACTAACAGGTACTGATACAACTCTGAAGAATCATCTTCAGACAGCAAGAGCGAAGATGACTCTGAAGATAATGACAGAGACGACGACGTATGATTTCTCCTTCGAAATATATTGTTGTTTTTATTTTATATAAGTTTATTCTCAAATGATTGTTTTTATGTGAAAAACAAAAATGTAGATTAAAGGTCAGGATACAGAACCCACACTATTCCCGAAACATTCAACAAATCGAATGTACATTTTATATATATTTTTTAGACGCCAGTATTATGATAAGAAGTCCCCTTAGGAAAAAATTCCAATTCGTTTTATTGAGAGTTTCGATCATGGGCAATAATCCATCCACCCCTCTTCTCCCTGTACGATTCCTCTTGATCATCCTGCGAGTATTTTGTTGTCAATTTTTCTTATAATCTTTCCAAAGCCCTGTTTTTTTAATTGAAATCTCACAGGAAAATCTCTTGGCACTAAACCTCTCACACATGTGATTTTGTTGAGCTGTGAATTTCTGATGAATACATACAAATATATCTGCAATTTGCGTCTTCAAATACCCCCATCACTCCCAGGAAGTTAATATTTGACCCGGTTCCATGTCAAGTGAGATTATGCGACTTCCAGATTATCTAGTTCACTTTCGGTGCACCTCTGGCCTGCAGTGCGAGGCGCCGCGCCGGACCGAGGCACGGCCGGGTTTTTGCACGATTATTACAACGTATGCTCACATTGAATTCGTATGCAAATAGCATCAAGATATACAGAATATCCTAGTTCATCGGTCTAGAGATGTGCATATGAACTTAAATCATCGATTATTTGAAAGATGTCTAGTCAATTGATGTTCGAATAAGTCGAGCTCCCCTCTCCGGAATCGTATACAAATGTCGGGAAACTCATTGATGAGTTAAATTCTCGTGAGATAAGATCATCGCACTTAATTGCCAAGCTTCTTCCTAGACAAAATTTTGAACTTTTTTCCAACCGAAAGGTGAGGTCAGGGCCGGGGCAAGGACTGGGTTGCGACTCTCCGAGTCACTTCTTCCTGTTAACTTGGACTAAGTGAGTGGGTCTTAAATGGCATACCGACTTAGAACATCGATAAACCCTGTGTCGCGTCCAACAGTCTAATATATCATGAGACATTGAGAAAAACTCTCCAGGTAAACGTAGAGGTTGACCATATACTAATTCTGCTGAAGAACAAACGAGATCTTTCTTGACCATGCATGGCCCGTTAACCTAACAATATAGATATATAGCTTTATTTGGCTATTTTGGACAAAGGTTCACAGCACGTCGAGTTGTTACACAGAAATATGGTGAACAATTCTACTTTTTCTTCTTCTTAGAGTCGATCAAAATTCGAATACAATTTGGTTTAGCAAAAAAAAATCAATCACATCCTAGACGTCAAATATTCCACCCGATAGTATCCCCCGTCTGTAGAAGAGTAAATAAGGCACTTGTGTGTCCTGCGGCTGCAACACTTGCTGTTCGGTGATTGTCCTAACGGTGGCGTCATCGAAGCGCAACCAACAGGCATGTTCCATTTGGAAGGCATCGGTAAAATAGTGGCCCCTAGTTGCCTTATCACCGACGTGGTAGACCACGGCAAACAACTTATAATTTCTTCCTTCGGGCGTTTGTGACTTCGAAGATAACCTCGATTCGATTTCTAGGTTGACAGGGAATTCCAACGCATTGATGATCTTCGTACAACCGTCTGGCTTGAAATCGAGAAATTTCAGATGCAGAATGAGAATGACTGGCAGCACATCCAAGATCAATTGCTGCCACGCCTGAACCACTTCATTCATGTTAGGAGAAGTCAATCCTTCCAGATGCTCCTTATTAACAAGTGTCTCCAGAGTCTCTCTGATCATCTTCACTCTGTCTACATTCAGTTGCATAGTCAGGAAGAGTTGAATATTCACCGTGGAAACATCTACAGCTCGCATGATTTTCGATCTCAACTGACCGCCAAATATAGCGCGTATTGGCGTCTTTTCGAAGACTGTTTTTGAAACAATGCAAGTATTCTGAGGATCCAAAACTGGTTTCATCAATTCGAGCATCTCGTCGTTGAGGCCGTTCAGTAGGAATCCGAGGAACTCTTCTGCGTCTTCCTGCCTCTCTCAATCAGGTCCGACCGAAAATTAGCCAACATCTTGTATATCCAGATAGGCTCGAATGGGACCATCTCGATCAAAACGCTATCTTCTTTTCTTGCCGTCTTGTTGTGGAATTGTCTATCACTTGTTTTCTTCACCAGCGACATATGGTTGAATTGCTGAACGAAGCGACACATGCTTGACTTATTCAACATATAGGTCTTGAAATACAAGTGAATTTATTGAATTCAAAACAATTCTTCACCAATAAACAAGAAGATATACAAACAATCCTTTTTCCAAAAACAACGCAGACTGAAGATGGGAAGGAATTTGTAACAATCATCGAGAATTTAGGAATTCAGACAAACTATAAAAATAGTTTCCTATAAGGAATTTCTTCAGATTAGTTTGGAGATCTCGCAAACAGGGTTGATTCTGAAATTACCTGATGAGCAAATCTCACAAATTTTTGTCTGCATATTATCAGAACGTGATTCTCAAGTTTTGTGTTCATCACGCAACTCATCCAATGTTTTGGGACTTTTGATTGATAGCTCTGCGAAAGATTTCATCATTTTTTCTGAACTTGTCAGTGAGGTAGTTCGTTCATCAACTGTATTTGGGAAGGAGTATGTTTTTCATATTTCATCAGCAAGGTGTAGGAATTCGTCAACTTCCTTTTTACCTGAAAACATTAAAGCAACTTATATTGTCTTAGGTAATTTCTCTTCCCACAATGTTGATATCAATTATTTAGTAACTACAAAAGATCCATCAACTGAATTCAACATTTCTCTGTGAAATTGTGATGGTTTTTTGTCATCAATATAAGAAAATGATAAAAGTGAATCTAATCTAATTTCTCCACTTGCTGTCAGTCGTTGTATGATTTTATTTATTAGATTTTCGTATAACTTCTCAGTCAGTGGATCTTCAATGATATCGAACTCATTCGTTATAATTTCTAGTGGTGAAGCAGCTATGATATAATCATATTTGGTGCCATCAACAGAAATTCGAGCTATATCAAATTGAGACTGGACATGATGGATCCATATATCTCAGGTTTACATGGCCACAATGGTGGCAGTTTGAATGAAGCAGCAATTTTATCATTTGTATCAACTGACATAATTATTTTACAGGGTGTTTCTTGAGTACGTGTAGAAAATTCAGGATTATGTTGTTGACGTCTAAATAGAAAGAAAAGTTCGTATAATCATATGTCCGAAAGTTATCCGTTTCTGAGATACAGAGTGTCAGTTGAATTATTATTGGAAAAGTTCAAAAAAGCATCAGGTAACAAATAAGTAAGAATCATATTTTGCCTACATTTCAATTTTGAATGAAAGAAGAAAAATGCACTGGCGTATCTCTCCTGATATTCACTAGAAGCAACTCAAGAGCCACATGGAAATAATTCGAATGCATCGATTATTTCGAATCCCAATAACTTGAAAACAGTTGCTCGCATCGACCTCTACCAGGAATATATTTTTTACACCAAAGTGTTCTAGAAATCTATTTTTCCACTATGAAACGTTATACAGGTACGCACAAGAAGTTATAACTTTTCAAAAGACTCAAAAGACATGTAGGTGGCGCCACTTCCACGAAAGAGAAAAACAATCATAAAATTTGATATTGTCATTGAAAAATACCCCTACATACCAAATGTCATTTCCATATCAGAATTATCTTGAAATTCATTAACAAAAAACAAAAATAAGAATTCAACTTTGACACCCTGTATTTCAGAAACGAATAACTTCCGGACATATATATATATATATACAAACTTTTCTTCTTATTTTGACGTCAGCAACATGCTCCTGGATTCTCTACACGTACTTAAGAAACACCCTGTATTATGAGATATCGGTGAATTCGGTATTCGAATAGATAATGAATAATTTGGGCGAAGAAGTTGCTTGTGGTATATACGACTTACTCGGAGGATCAATGAATCTGAAATAGAATGAGTTTTTGCTTTTATTCTCTTGCCTCTATTCTCGTTGATGAAGGTTTCAGTTGAAGTTCTTTTGAACCAACCAGCTCACAGTTTTTTGTAATCGCTCGATCTGATTGATGGCTCTCCTTCCTGGATTGATCGATCGTAGGGTTCAAACTCAGGTTCAAAGGAGCAATAGGTATATTCTTTCAAATAGGTACTTCCTGCTTGAAACGTTTTGTCTTCTTTTTGAAAGCGATGGATTTCTTTTCATGATTAGTGCTTGATGTTCTGCTACTCGGGGTCACCAATTTGTGAGGGATTTGTTTGTAGTCAAAAGATGAGCTGTCCAATGGAAAATCTCAATATATCTTTTCGTACTCTGGAAGAGTTTTTTTCAGGCTTCGGAATGATATAGCGATGTTCAAAATGGCGAATTTTCAAACGGCGATGTTGAATTAACGATGATTTTGAACAGCGTGTGATACAATAGCGACATGTAAAACAGCGACGTATCGAAATGGCGATGGTAACAAAATAGCACTTATACCATAACAGCGATGTTATTTTAAAACGATGTAAGAAAAGAACGCTCTAATAGAAACCATTTGTTGAATTATCTTTGCATTACAAAATATACTGATAACACTATGGAATAGAACATATACATTCATGATATTGCATGAGTTCATATCATATCGACAAATTTAAAGCAATGGCCTTTAAATAATCCTCAACACACCGCAATGAGTACCTTTGCGTAATAGTTTGGAGGCGTTTCTTCAACTGAGTATACTTGCTTTTAACGGACTCTGTAGTCCTAGAACCAGCTCTGCATCTCAAGGTGAAGTTTTCAGTTTGGGTTTGTTCCAAAAGAAATCTGTCCAAAAGTTTAGACAATGAAGGACGATGGCAATCCATAGCTCTTTGGAAGGCATTATGCCATGCCTCCAACGAATTATTAGTTCTCGGGATATCTGTATTGATTCGATCATACATGTTCCACATGGGTATAGGGTATTTTGGCATAACTCCTTCCAGTCTCCTTCCTACATAGGTATTTTCCCAATAATCTGTTATAGTAATCATTTCGACGGGAAACCCTTCTTCTTTAATAATTTCGTACGCAAACTGTAACGAAACTCAATGCGAGCAGGGTTTTACATTTTAATCTGACTTCCTGTCTGTTCACATATAAATTAGCTATTCCTGGGGTTCTCTGAATTTGACGCCAAAGGTTTTGAGAAAGATGAAAAAAACATCCGCTTACATCCGATTTAGAAAAGATTTCTTTGAATGCATTCACAGCTCCTATTTCAAAATCAAACATAATAGATTTAGGTTCTAGCGTTGGCTGTAACCCTTTAATTTTTTGGAACAGCCTGGAGTAAGTCTCCTTTTTCTTGCTACCAAGAATTGCGTACAGCATCGGAATTGCTTCATTTCCCATAAAAGCATGTATTATGTAGATCTGCAAAGCAAACTCAGGTGCTATCTTAAATGTTCCGTCAGCACACCAAAGATTAAATTCGGTCAATGTCTGCATGTTCGCATTCGTCCCAAACAATAAGATCCTATCACTTATGTCTACTTCACTAGAATCGAACAATAAGAAATTGTCACCTTTCAACGTTTTGTGATACTTTAGAGTTATTTTGGATTCAAAATTGAATGAAGTAGAATTTTCTGATTGGTTCCTTTGACGATGGACAATCTGCCTTGCGGCGTTATAATTAAGTAAAGCAACCACACCTTCAGGGTTTACATTTTGCGCGCATTCTTGTATAATCAACCTTGGACGATCATTGGTCATTCTTGCTTTTTTTCTAATTTGATCTTTCACTATATCAGCTTCATTGCTCCCTATATCCGGTCCATGTGTATGTTCACCAGTCGGGGTTGGATGGTCAACATCATCTTTCCTAACAATAAGTCTACCTCTGCATCCAGTCTTGGAACATCGCCAATTTTCGGTATTAATATACGACTTATCCTTTCTGTATTTGTAACCTCCGAAAAGAAGTATTTTACTACCTTTTTGTGAATCTATAAACTGCATTTTCAAACAACTTTGACAATAAACTCATTAATAAATGTCACGTTGATGACAACAATATTATTACTTCTAGCTGCTTAGTATCGTTAACCATCGCTATTTTATTTATTCGAGTCGTTTAAATGTTGAATCGTGTTTATTTCACATCGCTTTTTTATTACAAAATACATTTTATTTCGTCGCTATTTTGTTACACGCTATTATAGTACATCGCTACTTTGAAAATCGCGAATTCGTAACCCGCTATTTTGAAAATCGTCATTTTGAACATCGCTATATCATTCCGTAGCCTTTTTTTCATCTATCTGAAATGTCTTTCAGAAAAATTATCATTATGACAACCAGTCATCATGCTAGATTAACATTGAGATAGATATATTATACGGAGTGTGTATATGCCACAACTCGAACCACGAACTGAACACCGTCGCGTATCATCAGTACGCTAAGTATGGACGGGATACCTGCAATTTAGTACCGCAACATCATTACGGACCTCGTAACATTGCAGCACGTTTCACTGGTTGTCGGTTTTCTGCCCCGCATCAAAGAGTTTTTAACGACGTCGTGGTAGTGGAACGCGACGCTGTTGAAAGTGTGGACGACGAACCATGTATACTACTGACACAGCGGAACGGGGCGATAAAAGCATAGAAAAGCCACTGTCATTGTTCGTATTTCACTTTATCTCTGAATTCGGACTTTGTACTCTGAATTCAGACTTTTTTTTCTCGAAGTCAGACTTCTTTCTCTGAATTCATACATTTATCTATGGATTCACACTTTTTATTTGAGTTCGACTATTTTCTCGGAATTCAGAAATTTTTCTCTGAATTCGACAATAATTCTTCCTTAATTCGGAAATATTTTTATACCGTTATGAATCACTCCACAGAAATAAAAAGCACAAGATGTTTTTTATGCACTACACTTTCGTCGAGACTGTCGCTGCGT